CAGGACTAAAGGGTGTGCATTCTGTGCTGGCCAAGTCAGGGAGAAGCCTGGCTCACGCATCCAGGAACCACAGGTGTCAAAGCAGGACGTCTTGCTCCTGGCACTGCTGGGAATGCTGCCCCAAGCCTGTCACTGTACCTAGGAGGTTGTTTGGAAGTATCTCTCAGTACTGCCCTTTTTCTAGGGTATGAGCAGTTTTAAAAGGCTGGTGCTTGTTACACACCTTTCTTCTTGCTTATTGTTCTTTTTGGTTAGTCTAGTCAGGTTTTTGAGAACTCTAGTTAGCATTGTTTCTAATTTCATAGGTGCTGGCAACTCAAGGGGAATGACTAACATTAGTTGTGCAGTACTGAGGCAATGTGTGCTTTCACTTGCTTTTTCAAACCAGAGTGCTTAAATGACACCTACCTAAAGACAGAGGTTTCCAGCTCTCCCCAGTCCCTCCCTAAGTCCTGTTCAGCACAACTGTACCGTTCCTCAGCAGCACCTTCCAGGCCACTCATCTCCTAAAGCCATCTGAAGTATGTGCAGAGAAGTAGTTGTAAGAGAAAAGTCACAGAAAGAGAGATCAGAGGAGGAAAAGTCACTAGCAATATTACTCTTTGCTAATGGAAGGCACACCTACTTCCTCTGACTCTAAACAGAGGAGGACCGTCAGGTGGTAGAGATGCAGCTCAGAAACACAGAGCTTTACAATACTCAGTCCTACCTCATATACCATCTGCCACTTATGGAAACTTAAGACTTGCCAAACAGAGGCTGGTTCTGTGTTTTCAATATTTAATGCTTGTTGGAAATGACATTTCAGTGTAACCTGTTGCCCCTGTGAGATCAAGCTGAATGCCACCCACAGCATTGGCTGTTTGTACCCCAGTACTGAAATAAGCAGGCAGCATGGAAAGCTTCAAGGCAAGCTGTAGAACTGGGCTGTTACCTCCTGGGTATACTTTCAACACAGTAGCACTATTTCACTGTTTTTATTTTTATTTTTTCAAAAGACTTCAGAGTAAGAAAAAAAAAAAAAAAAAAAGTGAAATGGTAGCCATCAAAATAACAGAAAATAACAGAACAGGATCAGGAATCCTTGCTTTGTAGTGGCAGGCCTTTTGTTATTACATAAGCAACTCCAGGGGGAATCTGCTGTGGTCAAAGCTCTCTCCTGACTTAAATTTGCTTTCTTTCTGTCACGAGGAAAAAGGGGGAGAGGCATTAACCACCTTCTTTGTACTGTGCTTGAAGATATGATTTAGAGAACCTAAACTAAGAGCATCAGTTCTCTCTGAAGCAGGGACAGGCAGGTAGCTATGGCTGGATGCCTAAATTTAGCAGGTGTGAATACCACTTTCCACTTCTTTCTTCCTTTAGCTTCACCCTGATATGTGTCTGTTCTTTCCTCTCCAGCAGCTAAGGGTCAGCTAAGACTTGTTGTCTAGTCGAGCTGCTGCTCATCCCCTCTAACATTTTGTGGAGTCTAGATTCCTTCAGCCCAAGGAGAAACGGGTAGGACGTGCAGATTCAAAACTAAGATACATACGACCATTACTTTCTCCCCCATTAAACCACAACAGATGCATCACTGTACTCACTGAGACTGAAGTGTGAAAATACAGGTGAATCTGGTGTTGTGTGGATGCAGCCTTTGAGGCCCCAGATGTCTCATGCATCTACTGTGCTCTTTGTTGCTCCCTGCACCACTCTTTAAAGACTGGGTAGATAGAACTTTCCAGTCCAGAGTTTAGATAGCAGCACAGCTGTCAGCTGTGTTGCTTTAGATCTACTAAAGTGCTTTATTGTTTGGATAGTCTGCAGTGAAAGAAATCAAGATGTCTTCTGCTTAATTCAGAATTTTGGATTATCTTATCTGAGCACTCGACTTGCAAACTCCAGGATGTAACATAATCTCTTTGAATACCTGGTAACTGCCTGCTTCTCTGAAACAGCAACCAGCAGAGTAACTACATTGATTCCACTTTTCTGCACAACCAATGGAAAAATCAGCAAGCTTGGTCAGTGGGCACAAAGAACTGAACAGTTGCAGTGAAGGGATCTGCGCTAGGAGATAAAGCAGTACAGAGTGCAGCATTTACACTGACAGTATTTACAAGACTACGACAGGAGATTACAATAGACACAACAGCTTTTCCTCCATCCTCTCTGGCCATGGAGACCACTGTTGAGTAACTCTGAGCAACCACTGACTTTCTCTGTATTAACTCCTTTCTCTGAAATTACTTCATTACATCTACAAAAAACAAACAAACAAACAAAAAAACAACCAACAAATTGGTAAGAATCCATCCTTGCACCACAAAGAAATATTTCACACTTGCTGCAACAGCAATGAAGGAGGCTTTGCTTTAAAGTTTAAGACAGTGTGCTTCTGTTCTTAACTATAACCACTCTATATGTATAAAACAAACAAACAAAAAAGTAGAAATTGACCTCTCCCTAGTATCAAGATTAGAAAAACCCACATCATGATTGTGTTTGCTCTACTGAAGGTACCTTGCCAGATAGGCTTGGAGGATTTACAGTCACTGTAATGAACTACTAGGATTTCATGAGCCTTATGATCTGAGTGATGGCATTACTAAGCTTATGCCTACTTTGTAGTTCAACTTGGAAATAGAGGTTTGTGTCCCAGCTACGCTAAGCCCAGGATTTGTAAGGTACCTATGCTCCTGTAGTTTACAGGCAAGCCACTGAAATTGTGTGCATCTGAGATGAGGCTGAAACCCACTGCTCTCTGCTGGGGGTCCCCTGTTCTTATCTGCTCAACAAATGGGAAAGAAAAGCAGTAAGCACAGCAGCAAGGTCACAAAGAAACTAAAAACATAATCAAAATGAGAAGGGGAAAAGAAAAGTGAGCTGAAAAAATTAGATCTGTGAAATGACAGACAACTGTAGCAGAAACTAGCTTTAAGCTAAAAAATAAGGTCTAGATTTGAATGTTTCTGAGTAGTTAAGCTATTACAAAACATGATCATAAGACAACAAAAATGAGCTTAGCATTTGGTGCTTGAGTTCTGCTCTTTGTAGAACTTGGTAAGGCTGGTAGTACAGAAGATCCTTTTGAGTTGTCTGCAGCCTTCCCACTGCTGCAAAGCAATGGCTACATGTACGCTTTTTGTATTTATTTACACGTGTTTTACTCAAGTCTGAAGGCAATGAGGTCATTAAAAGTAGGTGAAGAATATCGCTTCGGGTATTTTCAACTTAGAGAAGTCTTCTGAGCTGGGCAAGAAGGTCATGGAGGGAGAAAGGTTATTCTGTTCTCTCAGCACAAGAAAAGAAAGAGTAAGCTTGCTACTAAGGAGGAGGTGCAAAAATTCCGGCAGACCATAAAAGCACCTACAGCAAATGTTAATGAAGAGGTCTTTGGACTTACGACCTATTCAGTCTTATTACAATGTAATGTTTTCAACACTGTAAGTGCTGAAGACCAAGCCTAAAAATAGCAAAGAAAATTACACCACTAAACTGACAGGAAATGTAAAAACTTTTCAAATAAGAGACAGAAAACCCATTGAAACGGTTATATTCCCAGTTTAATACCAAATAGCAACATCGTCTTGAGGTAATTGTAATCTCTATGTTAAGCATCCATGGAACAGAACAATGGCTTGTTCAGAATCTACAGGGAAGCAATACCTAGAAAAATAGAACTATAAAACAGAAATATGTTTAATTTTCTAAATCAGAACAAGATAGATATGCAATCAAATTTTCCTCAGTGTATCTTGTCTACTAATCTTCTGTAAACTTATCTTTTGGTAAGGTCTTTTTCTTTCTTTGCTTATGTACCCACTAAAAAGTTTTCCATCATGGTATGAAAAAAAAAAAAGTATCTGCTATCTAAATTACATCATGCATTCTTCTGAATTTGAGACCAGGCACTCTCTGATGGAGTACTTTTTTCCTATTGCAGATGTAGAAAAATGTATAGCTTTAAGTGCATTAAAGTTTTCCTTATTCTAAATCACTGCTTTTATGAGCTAAATTTGACGTAACTGTCCGTTATGAGGTAAGTTAGGAAAACTAAACATCACCTAAATAAACTCTGCTGCAAATGGAGCTTTCCAAGGCACGAGCATCTATGTGTCAGGGGCAATCAACATAAATATGCTGATTGTCATGAAAGAACTACCAGGCAATAATCTAAATACAGAGATTTTTTAGGTAACTAATTACAGAAACAAGATAGAGGAATAAATTCTGTTTTTTAAATGGAATTGCTGTGCAGCAGTTCTGGTATGACCTGCTTCGGTGCTGGCATTTGCTGCAGCCTAAGCACTGTCAGATACAACTTTATGTCCAAGTTTCTCAAAAGAGATGTCCTGTGAACTGGGAATACGCAATGTACCAACAACTTATGGCATTATTAAGAATTACTACTGCATTAGTTTTAAATTGCATTTTGCAATTATTTAGTGATAGGAGCAAGTTTAAAAGTACTCATTCTAAACAACACAGCTAGTTAAAATGAAATTGCTACAGAATCTTAAAATCTATTTTGAAATTGGTAACAATTAGAAAATGTTTAAAAAGAAGTTGTACATAATGTTCAGAGACACCCTTCTCCCCCCCCCCCCCCCCCCCCCCCCGGCCTGCCTTTTCCTTAGAAGTAGCAAGACAAACAGGCTGCAGATCAGGTATCTTTGTGTACCATCTTCATCATTCTTAAAGAATACGGCTCCAAGCACTGAGTCAAATGGAAAAATGTCAGCAGCAGTGTTTCTAACTCCCCAGACTAATTTCCTCCCCCCACCCCCCGATTCCTGCAGGTAAATTTTGGCTGAAAATGTCCAAAACAAACTAAAACCAAGCCAATAATCTGGATTCCTTTCTATTGCCTTTAAATAGAAGACCATCTTCAGACCATCCCCATTTTAACTAGTTTTCATGCATACCTTCAGCAGCTGCCATTACAGAGTCAGCTTCTGCAAAGACTTCACAATCCTTATTCTAAGAAATAAACAAGAGAGCAAAAGTGCAAGAAGTACAATGAATGCTTCATTTTATTTTTCATTAAAAAAGAGACATTCCAACAACTGAAGGTGTTTGTTTTTCTCCATGCAGCCATTTCAGGTAGTGAGAGACGTTACGATTTCTGTGGGGAACAAAGTCTGAAATGAGTAATTGTCAATACACAAATTTCTTAAATATTATAATGCTAGACTGGTTAAATCATTTGAGTTTAATCAGTAGATGTAAGATATTTACTCTTCTTTATTTCTGCCTAACTAGAATGCAAAATGCAGTCTCAGCTTTAATGCTTTTAGTTTAATTTCATATTACCTAGACTAGATATAACATACACAAAAACCCCACTGCTAAGACAGTCACTATAATCACTCAGATTATTATTTTTTTTAATAAATCCCAAAAGAACTTGAAAAAAATTCCTCCCAAAATTGCAGTAAACCAACCGTATGTTCTCAAAAGATTAAAGTGATAAGCAGTCAGCATTTACTGTCAATGACAAAATCATGACACTCATTTCCACGCAACATACATCTTTTTTACTTTAAAATGTACTTTACACGCTTTCTGCTCTGGCCGATACAATCTATAGTTATTATGCATACCTACAAAATGTTGGAAATAAAAATTGTTAACTGGATTAGTTTTATGAAATGCAGAATAGCTTAAAATTAACTGACCATTCAGGTGGGCTGTTTGCTCTAAATATTCTTGTTAAACTTTCCAAATCTTCATTTTTGAAATGGAGCTCTTCAAGTAACGTGGTCAGGAACTGTGTGTATGCTGGGCTTCTCTGAGTATCTTTAAAAACTGGAATATTTTGTGACAACCTGGCAAGAAAAAAACAAACAAACAATAACAAACACTGTATACGTGTGATACAGAAAAGGACTTTTCAACATCAGCTATAAAGATGCAGGTCTGTGAGTTCAGACAACTGTAGTGAAGAAAAGTTTGTAATGTCCCACTTGATTCATTACAGTACAGCCTATGACTGTATACGTTACACACTGTTTGACCTGTACTGAAATACAAAAATTTATTAAGATGTAGTGAAACGGAAACAAAAAATTAAAAGAAAATGGGCCAGTAGTTTGTATGCCTTTAATAAATTGCATGCATTACTTAATTCAGGAAAAAAAATTGGAATAAAATGCCAGATTACTTGTAAGAGAGAAAAAATATCAATGTAAAATTTCTTAACTGAAAGCTCTTACACATTCATCTCATAAAATTTGTATAGTTCCTTCTATGAATATAATGTGAAAGAGCAGTGAAATTCATCTTAAAGAAGAACATTCTTCTGCAAATTCTTAGTAGGGCTCCTGGACAGAAGCTGTGGGTAACTGCCATCACACACACATACAGTTGGATGCATTTGATTGGAGGACTGCCCCCTGCAGTATGTCACAAAACGCGTAGCACACCACACAGCGAGCTCATTTTGCTTTAAGGAAGATTTCTCCTATTACGGAGAACCCTCCTACAGAGGCATTCTGGATTATTATTAATTTTACTTGATGCAAACAGACACACAAAACATCAGTTAAATTCCCAAAATGAGGGCCAGTCTGACTGTAATCAGAATATGATTCCTCAGCTTTGACAGTCTGGACCTTAAAGCAGTGTAAGTTAATCTTTACACACTGAAGTGCTATGAACTTAGGCTTTAGGAAAGACAGTCAAAATCAGATGCTATTAGAAAGAACTGAGCCTTTGGCAAAGAGAACACAGCTGATTTAAGCTTGAGAAGTTTTTATACGAGATACTAAAATTCAGTTTTACAACTGATGCTATATCAAAATACAGCATCGTAGTCAAGCTATTTTTTTGTTTTGGTAATGCAGTGAAGTGCTTAAAACTCCAAGTGCCCAGAGTTGTCAAGTGAATGCTTCAAAAAATAAATAGAATCAAAGGGGGTAAAATTATATTTCTGAATTTAGCTAGTAGAGCTCAGCTTTAAATTTCAAACGGTACTTGGACTTTCTACGTTTGCTAGTAGCAACATTTTACAGAAATTCGAACATTTGGGCCTGATTTGCTAAACTGTTAAGTAGGATGGAGTCCATCCAGTTTCCAGTGATTTTAATATTTACAATGAATGGAAGCTGAAAGTAGTTGCCAACTGAGAGAATAAAGTATGTTCATTTGAATAAGTGACAGACTTATCCCAATGTTACTTGGCAGGAGCTCACATCCCAGCAACAGTTGCTTGGTCTCAGTTACTGTATTTAGATAAATAGTGCTACAGAGAAATAGACACTGGGGAATATTTCAAAATTTTTGAGAATTGATGTGCTGTGAAGAAGCTGCTCAAGGTATTCTACAGCTTATTGAAAACTTCACAGCCCAGAGAACCTGTAAATATGTAACAACTGAGATCAGTCTCCTGTAGTCATTTGTATGAAGACCACCTTCCCTGTAGAAAAGCTGCATATAAACTCTCAATCTATATAAACTCTAATTCTGCATATAGACTCTTAATCTAAGCTAAAACAGTGCTGGAACACAAGCAGAAGATCTTACAAGGCACAGTAAATACAGTTCCCTGACATAGAAATAAGTTTCCAAAATTTCTTCATCAGTAAATAGATTTTTTACAGGTTAAATTATCTTCCATTTACTTGGGAACTCTATTTCAGTATGTCCATCTAATTAAATACTTTAACTACTCAGCACTGACATTTATTAAGATTTTAGGGGATGCTCAAAGTAACGATGTGATGTGCAATTAAACTGATGCATAAACCTCACTTTGTAAACCTTTGAACAAAAGTGAAGTATTCAGAGTTAGACTTGTGATTTTTGGACTGCAGCCACTAGGCTTTGTTCTGTATTTAAGACAGGCAGGATGGAGCTGTCTCTCCTGGTGGGAAGTACAGTAGTTAGTATTTAATCTGGTAAAACAGTGTCTCCAACCAGGGCTGACAAGCTGGAGGCTTTTGCATCGTGATGCTTTATCAGCAGGGAAACAGAGGAAGTGCTGATAGAAGATCAGTGACAATTTCTGAGTGTTGGTCTGGAGATGAGGATAGTGGGAGAAAGATTAGGAGATGCATTATTACTACTCTTCAAGCTATTTTTCACAGGATTTAGTAGATTATATATGAAAAGAGATGGGTGGCATAAATAGTCATGACTTCCTAAATACTGGTGCCAGGAGGCTGCAAAATATTCTCTGCAGTGTTGTAAATCTACGAGCGTTTTAACTGAATTTTCTTTTTTCTACCTTGTGCTTAAGAGAATAAGAAAAATACTATTAAGAAAAAAGCAAACAGATTGTGCAATTTTAAGTAACATAGTGAAACAGCAATGCTACCCAGCTCACATGCTAAACAGTATTTCTCTCTATGTATATTTTTAAAACTAGGGTTTGTGAAATTACACAGTTTCATAAATTACAAATATTTCTCACTATTATGCCCAGTTTAAGACATTCTGTTTACAGAGTAGCTGTTGTAGCCCATGCTAAGAAAGAAAAAACCATTCTTATTCTCAAGTAGTGGCCAGGCCTTAAATTCTATAGAACAAACTTACAAATGAAAATAGCTTTGGATTTATTTTTTTACCAGATCTTTGTTTGAAAAGTCATTAAGCTACTAATTATCTCCTAAGTGGGAGACAAAAATCAAGAAATAATTTCAGAGACACACGTGTAAGCTTCTAGCAATTATTTAAAAATTGTGCCTAGATGGAACACTTATGTATACACACGTACAAACACTTTAATCTTGGAAACCTGTCCGTAGGCATTTAAATGATGTTTTAACATCTCATTTGAAAAATTGTTGTTCTCAGGTACCTTTCCACTTCTGTAATGGTTTTTGTAGTGGCTGTCTGACAAGTTGCTGGTTTGCACTAATAGATTTGATAGTCTTAGTAACACTGGTCGCACCTAAATTAAATGTACTGCACAAAGGAGCATCATGGCTTGTGCTCTCATCCTTGCATGAAATGCTAACTGAACCAAACCATAGTTTCATGCAAATAAACCTTTGCAGTCTTTGGGATCGGTATCTTGACAGCTACGCTGACTCTATCTCTGAAGAAACTATCATGCCCAATTTAATGATATGCAAGATTTCAATTTAAAGATCATGGAATTGACTTGAAACCCTGAAGCATCTTTAGAAAAATCAGAGTGTAAACAGGAAATAAGATTTGAATCACCGTAATAGTATTTGGTTACTACAACAACAAAACAAGAAATACAAAGCCTGCTATTTGGTTAGCTCTTCTGCATATTGCAACATTAATGCTGAAAAAACTTTCGTGAAAAACTGAAGTGAGAAAAGCTACAGAGTTAAGTGATTGAAAAAACCCTATCACCTACAGAAACGTACGTAATGTTGTCCAACATTACACACCCGTGCATCAAAAGACTGCCCTCAGCACACTGTTAAAAGGAAACTTTCATGTTCGCTTCATGGAAAAGTTGTAAAGTGTGTATCAGAGTTCGTGAAACAGTGTCGTTTCCTGCACACCCACTTACACCATATGGTAAACAGGGCTTTGTACAGTTTAAAAAGTGTTAAGAATGTCAAACTGCATCTGACTGATAAAATTTGTGTTCACTGACTATTCCACATATGCTACCTGCTAGAAAAAAAAAGAAGAAAAATTAATGTGAAGCCGAAGGTATTACTATCAAGCTATTAAGTGACATCTGGCTGCTGAAAAACGTTTACCTAGTTGAGTGCTTCAACTCAAGATTCAAGCTTTCTATGAATTAGTCTCTTTAAAAAAACATTTGACAAGTACTTTTATAAATGAAAACGTATTTAGAAGTTAGTTACATTGTGTAAATTAAATGTAATAGACCAATATTGTTTGCAGTTTCTTCACTTATCAATGCCTACACTAACCCCTAAGACTGAAGACAATCAGAAAAGTTGATGGTGGAGTAATATATTCTGTGTAGTTAAGTAACTAATTGGCACTTCCTAAAAAAATGTGATCTACTTGTATAATACCATTCTCCCTCGCATGCTTCAAGAAAACCTTTCTGGCCTTTTGTTTTAAAATGAACTCTGTGGTCCCCTTTGAAAGTCCCCACATTCAATGCCACCAGTGTGATATCATCCAGATAGTGGCCTCTGAAACAGGCACCTGAAGACAACGGTAAGAACACAGCCACCTAAGAAAAGTCAAGTTCCTTTCCAGTATCTAAATTTGGTCACTTAAAATTACACAAAGAATGAAAGAATATGGGTGCACAGAAATGTACCCAGTATCATGCAAAGCTTTTGTATATTCATAAAGAAAAGCCATATTATTCTTCTCGAAACAGTTAATATTTAATTCCTCTTAGAAAAATGTAAGTATTGCCAGTGTTTCTAACTTCTTCTAAAAGCTTAAAAGCTAAAAGCCAGTCACTGTAGCAGAAGCCATGGATCCAAACTTACTTATTTCAGCTCTTTACTCTGTTTTGGCATGCTTGGAAGTGACACAAAGATGGAATTATACAGTAGAATGAAGGAACAGGCACATCCTGCCTTTCTATAGTATGCTTTGCAAAATCAATTATAAACATTTTTACCAATTAATGACATTGTTTAAACACTGTGAATGATTCTTAAAAGTCATCACAACATAGAAGTTCTTCTCTCAGTTTCCTTGTAGCTTCATACATTTAAGCCATCAATTGGACTGTGGCTATGAGCAATCTAGTCCTCTCATCCCACATGAATTTTAGCTCGAAGTCTGGAAAAACATGTTATTTATACATAACAAAGAATTAAAATGTTTACAAACCTCTTGCATCACTTTAGGTGTTACTAACATAGCTATTAATAGTCCAGAAATATCAAGCAGCCATTCCAGCAGTATG